TAAATCCTGCCACAGCAGGGCATTCAAAATGTGATTATTAAGTCCATCAAAATAAAACAAATTAGAAATCCGAAAACCTTACTTGGTAGGAAAATGTTGTCCTACTTAACCATTTTAGTACACTTTTAATGAGGCTTCACAGTCAACAGAATAGCATGGTGAGGTTAAAAGTGTGGGTGAGTTCAGTGCTATGAATGCACTAAACTCATATGTGCATGTCCTTGGAACAAGCATGACTGTCTCAAGGACACAGTACATTTGTTTTCCGGAACTACCAGTTCTTTTACCCTTTCTCTTTGGTTTTAATCTCCCTAGAACAGAGGTTCTCAAACTGTGGTCCGTGGGCCACCAGTGGTCCGCGAGCTCCATTCAGGTGGTCCACAGATAGTTCCCTCTAAGGTGCGTACCTGGGCGGCCGCACACGAGAGAATGAAGGGCCACCCACCTAATTAGTGGAGCCACTCAGGCGTGGCTCCACTAATTAGGTGCCTGGACCTTGGAGAAGACACACATGTAAGGTGAGGTGGTGGCCTTGGGGGGAATAGGGATTAGGTTGAAGGGGACAGTGGGGATGAGAAGAGGGAGTGGGGAGAATTTGGGACATGCAGGGATGCAGTGGCCAGAGAAAGAGGCGACTTCCCCAGCTCCGGCTGCTGGGGAGAGACGGCCCTCCTTCCCAGCCCAGCTCGGGGGCTGCCATGGCAGGGGAGAGAGGGAGAGACTCCCCCTCCTTCCCAGCCCCAGTTTTGGGGCTGCTGTGGTGGGGGAGAGAGGGCACATCCATTGCATTAGAAAGGTAAGACTACTGATATTAAGATATGAGTGGTGTGCTTTTTTTGTAGAACAAAAAAATGTTTATTATTAAGGGGGTTTTTTATATAGCGCTTTTATCCAAAGCACATTACAATAGTTAGCTAACGGTACAAACAACATTTGGAAAGATCATTAAGTGGTCGACCGAGACCCTCAGCAATTTTCAAGTGGTCTGCAGAAAAAAAAGTTTGAGAACCACTGCCCTAGAATAATGATCTTCACACACCATCTAGTGGTGCCAGGGAGGATTATACTTTACAATAGTGATAATTGTCATGGTTTACGGAAAGGCAGCCATTCCAGAAAAAACATGAAGGTCAATTCCTTCTCTGGAAAAAGAGATCTATTTTGCAAAGTGCTAAATAGCTGGCTATGAGCCAGATTCTCAGCTGGCTTAAATTGGCATTGCTCCATTGATAGCAATGGAGCTCCAGTAGTTCATGCTAGCTAAAAATCCAGGCCAGTAACTGTTGATCTTTGCAAGGGGGTGGATGAACACTGCTTAGGGCCCAGCTGGCAGATGGTAAAACCCAGCCAAAGGAATCAGATACTCCTGTAGAAATTGCTCTGAGATGTAAAGGAAAAGTCGTGTGAAGCTCAGACAATCTCCAAAAACAGGAGCAAAGCTACCTGGACAAAAGGATGTAATTGTATTTAGTAGACATTCGTCAATAAACAGTTTCAGAATCAGAGTTCCATATACCATAATATGGGTCTGGAAATCTGGGTTGCCGTCATCAAAAATGGAGTTTCCAGTTCCAAAATCTAGGTTGCCACAACCAGGTTCTGAATGCAGAATTCTGAATGCCGAGTTTTCAAAGCAGAGTTCCAAAATACAAAATTTGAGATGTGAAAGGCAGAGCTCACGGTTGTGAACACTAGGTTCTGTAAACCAAAATCTAGCTTCCTAGTTCTAGAAAGCAGGTTGAATTTGCTAAGTCTCATAAAATGAGCTGTAATAACTGGGTCCCCAGTCCCAAAAGCAAATCCTGAAAAACAAGTCCCAAAAATCAAATATGAGATTAGAAAATCAGGATATCTGTAACCCAAAATCGAAGCTCCAAAACCTGGCTTCTGAGTTTTGATAGCACCTACCCAGATCTTCAATGGTATTTAGTTACGTGACTGCCATTGAAAGCAATGGAAGTTAGGAACCTAAATACCTCTGAGAATCTGAGCCATACTTATGACTGCAGAAAAACTAATTGTGAAAACTAGTTTGAGGGCCAAATTCCAAATGGCAAGATTCAAAAGCAAACGTTCTCAAACCTGGGTTATGAACCTTGAAATGGGAAAATAGTGCTGCATGGTCTGATTTTTAAAAAAAAAAGGTGTAAAAATTGAGTTGAATCCCAAACACAAAATCTTATGTTCCAAAATCTAGGTGCTGGGTTGCCAAAGCCGACTGCCAAGAACCAAAATCTATGTTCTTCAGGAATAGTTCTGAAATCTGAGCTCCATATTCTAGTCTCCAAAGCCAAATTCCAAATCTCAAAACCAAGTTCCAAGTCTCAAGTTTGGAAATCTAGGTTCTGCATCCTGACAGCTGAGTTTTTAAATCTGGGTTCTGAGAACTGGGTCCCAAGTTCAGAAAACAGAGCCCTGGATTGTGAAATCCAGGATGCAACAAGCCAAGACCTAATAAGCCCTGAGCTGATGACCCACAATCCAAATTCTGAGTTCGGCCAGTAGAGTTCCAAGAACCTGTTTCAGGGAATTTGTTTCCAAAGTCAGAGTTTCTTGCATTACATTATCAGTGGTAGTCAGAACATTTACTTAAGCTTACACGGTAATGCTTGTCACCTTCATGTGTGGGATAGACTTCCTGATCATGTTGACAACCTATTTCAACACCCTTGACAGTATCTTGTGCAAAAAATACAGAGGATAAATCAAGAATAGGCCTTGATAGGTTTATTGAGAGGCAGTCTATGTAGCACTGGTTTTTCCTTCAGAAAGCTCAAGCAGCCAAAGCCTGTCAGTTAAAAAGCATACTCAACCTGAGGGGCGAGAGCTGAGTCAACTTAGGTGTGGTGTCTCTCCTTTGGCTGTAACATCAGCAGGAACTCACCATTCTGACAGTTCCTGCTCCCTCCTGTCTCTCTAATGAGGCTCCCTCCCACTCCACAATGGGTACTAAACGAGATTTCTGTCCCAATAGGCTGGTATCTTTGCTTTGCCAGCCCATCTCCTCCCTACACAAGTAGGCTCCCTAAAAATTCATACCTGTTGTACTTGTACGAAGTGAATTGAAAATTATTTCTTTTATTTATCATTTTTACAGCACACATATTTGTATACTTTGTATTCTGTGTTGTAATTGAAATCAATATATTTTAAAATGTAAAAAACATCCAAAAATATTTAAATAAATGGTATTGTTTAACAGCGCGATTAATTTTTTTAATCGCTTGACAGCCCTAGTAAATACACATTCCTTTGTCTAGGACAGGCTGAACACATTTTAAAAACATATTTCCAGCACACATCTATAACTGTTTGTACTCCATACATACATACATCACACAATGATTTTGGGGATCAGTGTGTCACCAGTTTATCTATGATACTTTACATGATGCCTTTGAGATACATATTATGTAGGGTGACCAGATGAGAGGAAGAAAATATCGGGACACCGGGGTTGAGGGGGGGAGTAGGGGGTCCGCCAGCAGAGAAAAAAAAAAGAAGAAGAAAAAAAAGCCGAGTGAAAAAAAAACAAAAAACTGATTGCTGCTGGAAATATCGGGACAAACACCTAAAAATCGGGACGTCTGGTCACCCTAATATTATGAGAACAGTGTGTTGTGGCAATGAGTGTGTCAGGCCTGATGGGAGTTACAAATCTCCAAGTTCAACGTGGCACAGTAGGAGGAAGGGGGTTTCCGCAGGGGGAAGTAACACCATTTGGGACTTGCTGCTCTCTTCAATCCAATACTGTCCCTTAGTGGCCTCCCCAAGCACAAAGAAATTGACCAGTCCCAGTAGGTCAACAATAATAACACCACAGCATTTACAGTAGATGTGTGACACTCTGGTGTGTTGGTAAGACACTGGGACTTCATTTTCTGGCCTCAGTCACTTGTTCTGGGTCGATTACAAAGGTTAATTCCCCTGTCATAAGTAGGGTCAGTATCCGCTGTCGCCAATGATGTAAAATTCAACTCGTTGAGCTGCAGCCTTCAGCTCACTGACTACACGGAATGTGTGGGTGTATATGCACGTCTGAGTGGAAGATGCCTTTTTGATCTCTGAGCTACCTCCCACATACTTGTATCTACTGCTCAATCCTCTATATAAGAGTTAAGTAGTCGTAGAATTAAAGGATGCTTCCTGTAGGCTTGGCCAATATTTACATGTGGTGTTTCTGAAGCATTAATAAAAGTTGAGCGCCATTAAGGAAATCCATAGGAGTGCTTTGTGACAGGGCAATGGATGCAATCAGAGGTGCAACTGCAGTATGTGTGGCCCTACCACAGAGAGTTTTAATCTAACTAGCTCAAGTAACAATAGTAGCCAAGCCACAGCAACATGCGGGCTAGCCACCCAAGTACATTCTTGCACTCGCTGGTAGGCTTGTATTTGAGCAGCTAACCCAGGCTGCAGCCCACACTGCCACAGCTTTGCTGCTCTTGGTACCTGTGCTAACTAGATCAAAGCTAGTTTGGGTATCTCTACACAATCCTCCGTCACAGCTCCGATTGCAATGTAGATTTGCCCAAAGTCTCATCAACACTTTTTCTTGCACATAACTATTCCCCCCCGCAGGAAATTTAATAAAGACAGCTGGTCAAACAGGCCTGTATACTGATATATCATGTTTATGTAAAGCTAGGCCTCTGCATTCCTGAACAATAGTCTATTCTCTAGTTGGCTAAACCAGCCTGTTTTTTTCCTTATAGTCCCTTTGTTCCACATTCAGCCTGCCAGAGTATGTCCCACAGCGATAGTTGGCAGAACAAATAAGGAAATGAGCCAAATTCACCCTTAGTGTAACTGTCTTAACATCAATGGAATTATACCAGGGCTGAATTTGGCTCAGTACCCAAATACAGCAATTAGAGTAGTCAGTAATATTTGTGTTAGATATAGTCTGTTGTTTTTCATTACTGTTATTTAACAAGATACAGCAACTAGCAGAGTGGAACAGAGCAGTCTTACAACAGTACACCCCGAGATCATAATGAGAAAACAAGACGCAAGCAGGGAATGTATCCTGTTGGTTGGAGGAGTGTCAGTACTAGAACAGCCAGGGTCACAGTAGGTCAAGTGTGTACAAAGCAGCAATAAGGGAAGCTGTTTAGTCCTAGCTGTGTCTTTGAGGGTCCTAAGCAGAAGGGTGAGGAGCAGAATACAGTGATTCAGGAAACAGGCTCTCGAAGAAGCTTGTTTCCCAGCTGCCGGGACGTCACGGGAAAGACAAGAAACTCACAGCATGTTTTTATCAGGTGGGTTTCATTCTTGAGGAGATACATGGCTTGATTCTCCTCTCATGCTGGGGAAAAATCAGGAGTAACTCTGGGCATCAGCGGAGCTCTCCCAGTAAATAATTAGGATAGAGAGGGCAATCAGGCTCTACACGCCTAATTAATACAGTGGGCTTAATTGTGGCTGTTAACACCCCAGCACTGGGAAGTGTGGCTTTGTGTGGGGAAGGCTGCGCACCACACCAAGGCAGGCTCCAAAGGCATTCTGCAGGCTTCAGTCCTGAGGCAGGAACAATGGCTCTGAGATCATGAACAGCTCAGTAGCAACTGTGATATTCTTTGAAAGGGTGCAACGTTTGTTCCTCGCTGTGCAACTGTATTAGGTCAGACATCTGGGGTGAAATCCCAGCCCCAACACAGTCAATAGGATTTCTGCCACTGACTTCAGTGGGGCCAGGAGTTCACACCTCTAGTGTGGAAAGGGGCTGCCCAAACCTTTTAGGGAGCCTAGAGTTGCTAGTGCTACCATTATATAGGGTTACCATTCGTCCAGATTTACCCGGACATGTCCTCCTTTTTGTGCTAAAAATAGCGTCCGGGGGGAATTTGTAAATCACTCAAAATGTCCGGGATTCCCCCCCCCCGCCCCCCCGGCAGAGCAGAGCGAGCGGCTGGGAGGGCTGCAGGAAAGTCACGGGCTGGACTCCGGAGCAGCTGTAGAGGAGCTCCTCCTCCCCCCCCTCCTTCCCCTCCCTCCCTGCATTCTGAGCCGGCAGCTCCTCCTCCCCTGCAGCCCAGTGCCCC